TGCTGTCTCTCTCTCTGTCAAATAAATAAAATCTTTAAAAAAAAAAAAGAAAACTTTTAAATTAACAAAGTTGAGAGAATATACCTGTCATCCATCTCCAGTAATATAACCAGTCTTCTGTCATGCATGCCCCTGTCTACTCCACTTACTTTGTCCCCTCCATAATCCCCAGCTGCCTTTGTTTGGTGTAAATCTCAGATACAATACCATCTTACCCATAAATATTTCAGTCTCATTGTCTCATTTGAAAAAGCGTAACTACAATAGTACATTCATTCCCAGTAAGAGAAGAATTCCTTGACATAAAATTCCCAGTTGGTGTTCATATTTCCCTTTTTTGTGTTTTTAACATTTTGTTTGTTCAACTTCAGATCCAAATAAAGCCCATATGGCAGTTGGCAAACTATTTTTTAAGTTTCTTTTAATATTTAGGTCCCTGCTGTGTCTGTATTTTTTCCCTTTCATTTTATTTGTTGAAGACACCAGATAGTCCTGATTAGTTTTTCAGAGTCTGGATTTTGCCAATTGTATCCCCGTGATATCACATAACATGTTCTATTATTCACTATATTTTCTCTTATATTTAAATTTTTTGTAGTACATCCATAGGGTAAATTATTACCAGTAAGATTATTGAGTTGAAGGGTATATACATTTCTAAATTTATTAGCAAGTTTTTCTCTAGAAAGGTTTTATCTGTTTTATCTCAACATTAGTCTCCCCGTTTTTTCTCAGAATTCCTTGTCAATGGTTGGGTCATCAAACTTTGAAATATTTACTCATTTGTGGTTTTGAAAACTGGACCTAACCTTTGTTCATTTATTTGTGAGAGTTCTTTATAAATCAAGTCAATAAGATGGAAAAAAAGATCTCAAGATTTTTTATGTATTTTCCATATGGAAACTGAATTTCAAGAAAGTTTATATTTATGTCTTCTCTAGTTCTTACGGTCTACTTAAAGAGACCTTTCCTACTCCAAGATTATGAAGACATTCACCTATGATTTTATTTTTTATAATCAAGATACAGCTCATGATATAAATATAATTCAGTGGATATCTAAGAATGGTAGAATATCTGGCTCATTAGCAAAGCCTGGTTTAGAACACTTTTATTTATCCTAGAAGTTGCTTTTTATCTCCTCAGTGTATGCTAAAATAATAGCTATTACATTTTGCACACATATAATGGTATATTATGACTGTGTATTACTGTTACATCGATGTTCTATATAAGTTAATATTCTTTTTTTTTTTAAGATTTTTTTTTTTTTTTTTTTAATTTATTTGACAGAGAGAGACACAGCGAGAGAGGGAACACAAGCAGGGGGGGGGGGAGGTGGGAGAGGGAGAAGCAGGCTTCCCGCTGAGCGGGGAGCCCGATGTGGGGCTCAATCCCAGGACCCTCGGATCATGACCTGAGCCGAAGGCAGACACTTAACGACTGAGCCACCCAGGCGCCCCTATAAGTTAATATTCTGATCAGGTTTTTTGTCTAAGTCAGACTAGATCACAAATATGTAACAACAGTGTAAGTCTTTGGATTATTTTCTCTTGGAATGAAATGAGATTCTGATTGTTTTTCTGAAAACGTATGCTTTTTTTAGGGGCATGACAGAAGGAGTTACGCTGTTAATCCTGGCAGTGCAGACTGGTCTGATAGAACTACAGGTTGTTCACCGGGCATTCCTGCTCAGTATTATCCTTTTCATTGTCGTAGCTTCTATTCTACAGTCTATGTTAGAGATTGCAGATCCTATTGTTTTGGCGCTGGGAGCATCTAGAGACAAGTAAGAAACTTCCTAAAAGAAATTTTTGTAATATTCTTTATATGAGTTTGTTGTCTGAAGATTTAGATAATATTTAGAGACAGAAAATGGATGAATAATTGGTATTAGCGTAAGGTAACAAGTTTACCTTTTTATTTTTCTATATGTTTGACTTTTCTGTTTTTTTCCTCAAGATTCTTATAGTTAGAAATCACATCAAAGGCCATGTAATTACAAGTCAACTTTTTCTTCTTCAGAGAAATTTAATTAATACTTTTTATATTCAGTTTTAAAATGAAGAATGGAGAGCATCAAATTTAGTCCAGGAAATACAGTAAATAATATAATTTTATTCTGTGTAATGCTAAAGCAGAGAAAGCGTTGAGAGAACAGAGAAAATCATTTGAGGGAGAGAGAAAGGCTCTCAGGCAGTCATAAAGATAGGCATTTATGGAATAATGGCCTCATCTGATGGCCTTTAGACAGTTTTAACTTACTGAGGTTTTAATGGGGATTCTTGACACCTTATGGGACCAGGTGAAATTAATAGCTGCATTCATGTTCATGCCATATTACAGAAGTTCTCTTAAGGAATAAAAGTCAAGTTATTATTTAGCTCTTTAAGGTAGAATTAGGCTTACTATAGTTTATACAAGGACATTCTATGAAGAATTACTAAAAATTCAGCACCACTGTTTCTTTCCAGCGTCTGTTGACATTCTGGTGATTTTTGAAATAACCTTAATTTGTTGCTTCTTTGTTAGTGTTTTATGAGTAAGGGAACAGGCAGTCTTTTGGGAGATAGAATTTTGACAGCAGATTTTTAAAACATTTCAAATTAGCATTTTAATTACAGTTCATCAGATTTATCTTTTTATTCCCATATCCCACATTGCTGAACATTCTGAAATTTTTCTCAAATGGTGGAAAGGCTGCAAGAGTCAATTTAATTTAAATAAGCTTAGAGCTCTTTGATTTGTTTCAGATAATCATTTTAATTAATTATAGTTATTTGAGATTTGGTTTTGAGGTTTAATGTATCTCAATAGAAGCATTTAAGATGTTGAACTCAGTGGTGAACTTGGTTAAGTAGCCATTTAAATGGGTTGTTTTTGACCTAAGTACAACACTATTTTGTCATTTCTGGCAGTATCATTTAGTAGTATTACTTATACAAATTAATTTAGCATATACTGATAAGACTAATATAATACTATAGAAAGTATCAGAAAAGAGAAAGAAATACATAATTCCACTGCCGTAAGAACCAGTAAATCCAGTTCTGATTCCCACCAGGCTGTTGGAGTAGCCTCATTACTGGCTTTTTTCTCTAAGGTCAAATGGAGAGGAAATTTAAAAGGAAAGGAACAAAACTGAGAAGCCCTGTGTGTGGGTGTGGGGTGGTTAGTTTGCATCGTTGTCAGTGTTCTTGCTGGTGTCCACTGCAGCATTCGCCTAAGGCAGGAGGGGTTCTTGGCTGTGAAAGGATGAAAAAGTGATGAATTGTTACGGTTAGGTTCTTCTCTCCCACCATCACCTGTGGTAAATAAGAGAGAACTGTCAACAGCCAAATGCCAGTACTTTTTAAAAGAAATGAAATCGAAGAGTATGAGAAAAATGTAGCTGATTAGAACTGACTCAAGAAGAATTTAAAAACTTGGATAGTTCTGTAACTGTTAAAGAACTGGAAGCAAATGGCAAACATCCCTTGACCCAAATGGTATTACAGGCAAGTTCCAAACTTTGAAGGAACAGATTATCCCTATTTGAAACACACACTTCCAGACAATAAAAAGAACACTACCCAACTCATTCTGTCCGGCTGGTATAATCCCTGTATGGAAATCAGACAACTTGAGAAAGATAAAGTTTTATTTCACTCATAGCAGGAGGTACTATGCAGATTTGTAATATTGGCTGGAGTATAGACAGCTTGAGCACTGGAACAGAGAGCCCCCAAACAGACCCATATATGTTGGACTTTGGTATATGACAAGGGTGGCATGTCCAATGAGTGGGGACAGGTGGTACTCTTCCGTAATGTTGCTGGAAAAAATGGTTTCTATTTGGAAAAGGATAGAATGGGTTCCTATCTCACACTATAAACAAAGGATCAACTCTGGAATGTTAGAGACCTAAAATGTCAAAAACAAAAAATTATAACTCACATAGGCTAATATATTTTGGACTTTTAAGTAGGAAACAGTTTCTTAAACTGACAGAACTGCTGTGGGAGAGCAAGACTAAGAATTAGGAATGACCGTGATTATGAAAGGAAAGAGTGATAAATCTAACAATTACAGTTAATAACTTTTTAGACCTAAAGTTAACTTTACAAACTGGGAGAAGATATTCATAGTATTTGCACTTGCCCAAGAATTGGTATCAATATACAAATAGCTCAAATGAGCAAGAGAAATGGATGAAATACATTTTTATCTTTAGGCTTTTAGTGAAAGAGGAGACACATGAATATGAAGAGAGGTTCAGCATCTTTAGTGATAAGAGAAATGTAAATCAAGACCACACTGAAGTGCTGTTTTAAACCTGTGGGATTGGCAAGGAATGAAGGAAGGAAGAAGGGAGAGAGAAAGGGAAGTCAGCTAATTATCTAGAGTGGAAGAGGTCTAGATGACATGGTATCCCTGGTTTCTGGTGGGAGTGTGAAGTGGTGTAATCACTTTGGAAACAGTGTGGCCATTCTCTCCTCCTACATGTATATTCTAGACGTTCTTACACATGTTCAGTAAGGACATACAGAAGAACGTTCATAGCACAATTCACAGTAGCAGAAATCTGGGAACAACCCAAGTGACAATCAAGCAGGAAAGTGGGTGAGTAAATGTGATAATAGTCACTATGGAATATTAGAAATGCAGTGACACAGAAAACAATATGCATGATTCATAGCATTATAAAGTTAAAAAGTAAATCCCAAAAGATGACAGTATAGAATGTTATTTTTGTGTTAAAAGCAAAAATTTAAAATATACTCTTTAGTATACATATAGATTAATAAACAAAACTATAAAAAGGAAAAGCAAGCAAGAGAGTAAAGAACACAGATTCAAGTTAATGCTTTCAATGGGTGCAGGGAGGGAGGACGTGGAATAGGCAGGCCTGCTATATAGTTAAATGTGGGTTATTGTCCGGGCCCTCACTTTTGTATGGGGAGACAGGTTCATGAAGGCTTGTTACAATATTTAAGATAGCTAATTAGATTACTAGCTCAGTAAAAAGAGGGACACCCACAGACCAATGGTGACAGTGCATCCTGAATTAAGGATTATGACTAATTCAGAGTACTGGGGATTGAGAAAGGAAACGAAAAATATCTTAATTCTCAAATTAGAGAAATAATTAAGAGATAATATCAATAATTCATATAACACTGCTTCTCTCTGTCATTTAAGAAATAATTACTAGGGGTAGAAAAGCCTCACATGTCTTTGGAGTTGCTTGGACTAGAGGTAATTTCCAGTGTTTAACTTAAAAAGCTGTCTCAGTTTTAGCCATAGAGATAATTGTTGCCCTTATCTATAAATTTTATTCCAGTTTTTAACAAGGAATTTTAGGATAATGGTCCACTTACTCAAATTACATAGTAGATTTTCAAATGACGAACTTCTAAAAAAAATGGGTTGGGGTGAATGTAAAAATTTTTTATTTTATTTTATAGTGCTTAACCTATTAATAGGATAAGATTTCAATGTTGTTTTCTGCTATTCATTTTATATTTAATTTTAAATTAGATTTTTATTGAATTTTAACTATTTAAATAAGGATATTTATTTGTGTGTATAATATACACACCTATGTTTGTATATATGTATTTGTGTGTTGCTGTGTATACACATGCCAAAATTAGAAATAAAGTATAACTCTTGGCATAATGGTGTTTATGCTTCTCTCTGTATGTATATAAAAATAATATACTTACGTCTATATGTAAATATATACCTATTTTATATAAATGGATCATAGCTTGATTTTGAAAAATATATTTAGAGCTTTAAGGCAAATTAACCTATTAAAGAAAATGATTTATAATTTAATATCTAATAAAGTATAACTACTGTTACAGTAATTCCTTCCTGCCTGCCTTTCTTTGAAAAAATAAAGTAAAACTTTTTATGTTTTGGATCTCAAAGCAGAACTACTGACAAGTTTATGTTTCTCCCATAACTTTGGAAGGTAGAAAATGTTTGCAAGAAAAGTTGTAAAACAGTTCCCAAGTACCTAGCTTTAATTTTTACCGTAATAATAATTGTTCTCTGAATTACTAATTACAGAAAGTCCCATACAGTCTAGCATAATTAACTTTGTGTGTGGTTATTTTTCCTTATGCCGCCTTTTTTTTTTGTTTCCTTGAGACTGCATGGATTTGACATCACAGATAATGATTTTTAATTAAAAATTAATTTTTTTTGCAGCCATGAGCTCTAAATGATTTTGATTGAAATCTACATTTCCTCAATGATTAAATGAATAAATGTGCATCTTTTATAGGAAATCAATAATTTTAAGTTTTGATATTCAGTTAATAGATTGTAATTGAGTTTTGTGTTTTAGAAGAGAGGAAATCTGTTTGGGGTTCACACTGATTTCTTTTAGATTAGTGATCACTGTGTTAAAAAAGTATTCCACCTTTGGCTTTTATTTACCCAGGAAATGGAAATATCTAATATCTTTTTTTTTTTTTAATCGTTTGTGGCAGCCCTCTATCTTTATTTGCTTGTAAATCAGGTATATAAAGTAACTATAAGTAAAATTACAGGGGGTAGAAATGACCTTTTTTCTGTTGTAAGGAAAGATTTTTCAAAGTTCTGCTTAAGGCACTTGTTGGGGAAGGTTTTTGTTTATGTATCTTTTAGAACTTAGTATACAATCTATCTTAAATTGGGGTGTATTTAAGGAATGATTTATTAGAATATTTTGATATATGAAGAGGTACACAAAAGAAAAAATTATGTCCGTTCTCCTTTTTGCTGTAACTATGGGGCTCCTTCTGTGTATGTATTCCACCATTGACAAGTAGGGTTCAAGTGGAATCCGAAACTGAAATCTAAGTCTAAGAAAGTCTCTTGATTTGTTGGGTGTCTTAAAAGCATAAAGTTTTATTATATGTAAAAAGTATATATATAATATATATACACACTAAGCTATATATAAAGTATATGTATACATTAAGCTATATATATGAAGTTATATATATATACTTACATATATATAGTATTCCCCCTTGAGATAACCATGATAACTTTTGTCTTGCTTTTATCATAGGGCTTTGCATTTGGGTGGATAGATAGGTTTGAAAAAAAAAAAGGTAGTAATAAATGGAAAATAATTTGAAAAATAGCAAGCAGAAATAAATATTCAAGTTTTTTTTTTTTTTTTTTTTTAAGATTTTATTTCTTTATTTGACAGAGAGAGAGCACAAGCAGGGGGAGAGGCAGAGGCAGAGGGAGAAGCAGACTCCCCACTGAGCAGGGAGCCCGACATGGGGCTTGATCCCAGGACCCCAGAATCATGACCCAAGCCGAAGGCAGCCGCTTAACCGACTGAGCCACCCAGGCGCCCCTAAATATTCAAGTTTTATTTGGCACTTCAAGCTTTGAGCTTAAAAGCTGAGCTATGTGAAGGAGTTGCTGTTCTTTTTTTCAAGGAGTTTAAATTTGGGTGATAAGACATTTTTATGTCTGTGTACATATATATTATTTAGATAATAACTATAAAATATAAATAAAAATGTTTAGGCATACAACATATAAATATCTGTATCATTGAAACAAGACTACAGTTTTAGTGTATGATTGGCTGGTACCAGTGTTAAGAATTCTGAGAGGGTCAGTGATTCCTGGAGAAAGGATTCACATTACCTGATTAGTTTGAGCTAGCCTAAAGGGTTTGGAACAAGAGAGGGTGGGACAGAAGCATTTCTAGTGGGGTGTAAGCATGCTTGTGTTTTTCTGGGAGTATAGTTAATTAAGCATCTTTGCTTATAGTGAGGAACAGGTGTTGACAAGTTTGGACCGAAACAGTGGGAGTCGAGGAGCTCAGATGCCAGGCTAGCAAGTTAGAGAAGGCATTGACAATATTACGCTAGTAGAGCTTTAGGAAGATTAATCAGGCAGGCAGTGTCTGGGATAGATTGGGACTAGGGGAGGAAGACCAGCTAGTAGGTCCTACAACACAGTTGTTCATAGTTTTTCCGCCTCTAGCCCTGACAGATGTGAGGATTAATATAGCTGTTGGAGAACCATTCCTCTTAGTAATACTGCGCTCACAGTAGCAGAGATTTTCATCACAGTGTAACAGGTGGGGAGAAGATGTCTCATGACTTAAGATCACACATTATTGTTAAGGCTTAATGCTCCAAAAGCCTGAGATCACTGAAATTGGTAGAAATGGATGGAACTGAAAGTTAACTATTGAAAAAAATAAAAGAATTGAGGTGTTTGGCAATTTTGACTGAGTGGAGAGAAGAGAAAAGGTGACTCAGGTGGCTTTGAAATACCAGGCCTCTGACCTCTGTCCTGAAATCTAGTACAGTGACTGGCAAGGAGAAGGATGCTTAGTAAAGTATTTGGGAAATGTCAGCATGGCCCAAGACCTATCAGTTGCTAACATGATTGTTGTGGTCCTGGGTGACAGGCACTTTAAAGGAGTATTTTTCTTTTTCTAGGAGTTTATGGAAACACTTCCGTGCTGTGAGCCTTTGTTTATTTTTACTAGTGTTCCCTGCTTACATGGCTTACATGATTTGCCAGTTTTTCCACATGGATTTTTGGCTGCTTATCATTATTTCTAGCAGCATTCTCACTTCTCTTCAGGTAAGCCTAGGAATAATTAACTATATAATAACTGATTTTCTTATTTTTCCTTCCAGAAAAGGAATTAAACTTTTTTGAGATGAATGATTATAAGTGGCCTATTTAGGTGATAACTTCCTACTTTACTTATCAGAAAAACATTACACTGATATGAGCATAGAAGTTAGATGGTAGGTTATTAAAATACCACACCTATCTATGTCACTGTATTTTTTAATCAAGGTAATTAAACTTTGCAAATGTTTAAAATGGATACAGAGCTATCGTGTAAAGCTTAAATTGATAAGCAACTATAAAATATTAAAAGATTTTGTAGCTTGTTTGGAGCACATTTTTTAAGTAAATACCCACTCGAAAATATCCTTAGTTTCGTGATGTGTATGAATATATGACATATTTGTGTAATACACACAAAAATACGCACAACAGACAGTATTGCCCTGGAAATAATAAGCTTATTATAACTTGAAAGTGGATCTTTGCTACCTGATCAGTAAGAAGTAAAAGAAAATATAACACTGGCAACAAAGATTTATTCATTGTTCCTTGTAGAGGTAAAGGTTCTTTGAAAGTTGAGAAGCATGTACAACTACAGAATTAGGAAAATGTAAATAGAATTTTAATGGTTTTGGTGATTTGGGGAATAAAAGGAAAGGATGAGTCAGAGAAAAGTGATGACTAATCAGAATTTTTTTAAGAAAGTCTCAAGATACGGCTTTTTGGTATCAAATGCCTGGATTACTGAGATCCACCCACATTTTAATTAAACCATGGTTTCCTCTGATTCTAAATATGGCATCCTAAAAGTATTAGGATTGTTGTTATTGCTTAAAGTCTATGAAAAGTCTTTTTTAGTGGTCATACTCTGTTTTAAAATACATGTATTTTTTCCCCCAGGTTTTGGGAACACTTTTTATTTATGTCTTATTTATGGTTGAGGAATTCAGAAAAGAGCCAGTGGAAAACATGGATGATGTCATCTACTATGTGAATGGCACTTACCGCCTTCTGGAGTTTCTTGTGGCCCTCTGTGTGGTGGCCTATGGTGTCTCAGAGACCATCTTTGGAGAATGGACCGTAATGGGCTCAATGATCATCTTTATCCATTCCTATTATAATGTGTGGCTTCGGGCACAGCTGGGGTGGAAGAGCTTTCTTCTCCGCAGGGATGCTGTGAATAAGATTAAATCATTACCCATTGCTACAAAAGAGCAGCTGGAGAAACACAATGATATTTGTGCCATCTGTTACCAGGTAACTTGCACAGTAAGAATCCATTTGGGTGGGTTGTTGGTGTATCCCCTGGGACTTTAACCACATTAACCAAATTTAAGTTAAATTTCTAGGCAGAATTATTTCCTTGGTTAAAAAAAAAAAAATAGGTCTCAAATTATTAAAGACCTGATAGAATATTTCCATTTTATTTCTGAACTAAGTTTTTAATTTAGTCCCTCAAGTTCTAATTTATTGTTATTTTCAACATTGCTCACCCATAAATAAAGGAAAAACAGGTCAGGTGTATTTTATATTTACTCCCAAATACATATACATACACACACACATACGCACACACAATCAAATATATACTATCAATTCAGGAGTCAGCAACTTCTGAAAAGTGGTGTGCCAAGATTCTGATGGTTTTCCTTCTAGTATTTCCAGGATGGGGAAGAAGTATTCATTTACTTAACGTAGGTAGAGTATGTGTTTACCTGTGGGTTGATGGATATCTGAGATGGATACGAGCCTTTGTGTCTGGAATTGGGGGCCGGAGGATATGGTAGAGGCAGCCGGTCCGTGTGGCATTGTAGTTGGCCTTCCTGGCATCTTTGGCATGTGTGTTATGAATAGCTGACGACTGCCTTCTATTAAAATTGAAAGATAGTATTTAAATGAGTTTGGAACTATCACAGCAAAGAATAGGCCTACAGTTTAGTCACCAGTAACCTGTGCAGGGGGGTGGTTGGGGGGGTAGCAGCTTTTATAGCTAAATTGTACTGTTGGAAGTATGGATAGAAATTAAGGACCTTTGGGTCTTCGCAGAATAATGTTTTCCAGGTTGTTTTTGCATTTGGGGGACTAAGGAATATTGTAGGTTCCCCCCAAGTGAAGTGGCCATTGTCTTAGTTCTGCTTCTTGGTGCTTGGTAGCATCATCGTATGCAGGACAGAGCGCATCGAAGACAGGGCACATCAGCTTCAGCAGCCGATGTCTAAATATTCCATCTCTGGGATTTAAATAAGAGTCTCCTTTTGTATTTCCTTTTGTCACATCACTTTTTTTGAGGTGCTAGAACTACCTGCTGATATCACACAGAAAATGAAAGTCAAATTGCTTAACTTCCCAGCTGGCTGCTTTTCCTTGAATGGCTTTCTGCTTAAAAGTTGACGCCCAGGTGTTACCAGTTCTTGGCAAGGAATTTCTGTGACAACTACAACTCCTTGTTTTGGGACTTAAAACAAAATTAATGGTTGAGTCCCCAAATATGTATTCTTCACAATTAAATCATGTCCTCAGCCTTCCCTCCCCGAGTTTATCTTCTGCAAGGAACATTAATGCAAAGTATACCACTTCTTAATCCAGTGGTTATCAGACTTGAGTGTGCATAAAAGTTACATGGGTGGCTTGCTGTAACTGTAGATTTGCAAATGCCATCTTCAGATATCCCAGTTCAGTGGGTCTGGGGGCACCCAGGAATATGTGTAGTTAGCAAGCACTCCGGTGATTGTGATGCAAATTGAGAAGCGCTGGCTTATACAGACCCTGTCTTGAAGACTGCATTACATACGTTGTCCCTAATGAAATTGCCACTTCCTTGCCAATACCCTGGTGTTATGTGGCTGATTTTGTCTCCTTGCCAGTAATGTCATCATGGAATAATCTCTTCAGCTGTGTTGAAGCAGAACTGTGGGAAGTCCTGTCTTCATCAGATTTTCTGAGGTTCTAATTACACTCATGCCACGGGTGGGGGGGGGGCGGGGCAGCGGAGGGACCAGCAATCACACTGCAGTAGTTGTGTGATGCTCGTGTTCCATACGAAGACAGAAGCCAGTTAAGATGTTCGTTTCTTTCTCATTTTTGGTTTTTACTTCTTTTAACTGTTTAGCCAGTGGTTCTTGCATTGTTGTATAAAGGAGTCTCTGAAGGCAGGAGGATTATCACTATAATCTAAAATGAGTTTTATTCTAAAATCTGTGTTACAGATTTTCTATGGGGACTTTGTGGGAAAGAAATGTTGGAACTAGAACTTTTGGGATTAGCCGCGAAGATTTTAGATAATAGGCATTTATTGAGGTATCTTTCCCCCCTTCTAGGACATGAAATCTGCTGTGATCACACCTTGCAGTCACTTCTTCCATGCAGGCTGTCTCAAGAAGTGGCTGTATGTCCAGGAGACCTGCCCTCTGTGCCACTGCCACCTCAAAAACTCCTCCCAGCTTCCGGGGTTGGGGACTGAGCTGGTGCCACACCCTCCTGCGGGAGCCGCGCAAAACATGCTCCCGGAAGGAACTGAGCCTCCAAATCAAGAGCATCCTCCAGGGACTGGGATGCGAGAAGGTTCTAGGGACAATAATGAGTGCATTGCCACTAGGTCAGATAGCCAGGAAGGGACTTGTGACCCTAAGGAATATCCTTTTAGTGAAAAAGATGAAGCATGTCCTGTTGAGGTCAGCATAGAAGAAAAGAAGCAGAAGTAATGCTTTGATACTCTGGAGAAGTTAACTCACTATGAAATTCGAGCTCAGATTTGAGGAATGAATGTATGAGATGATGAGGTAGGAAACTTGACATTCCAAGGATCTGATCCAGGAAGTACTCTCAGTGGAGGCTGTTTGCGTTCATCCCCCTGACATTGTGGGAGAAATTTTGCAATGTATGCTAATCAAAATGTATTTATATATCCTGTGCTGATATTTTGTAGAGGTTTGCCAAGAAAATTCAACTTCAACAACTTTAGAAACTGCCCCTGACTTATAAGGGATAAATAAAATCAGATTTGAGTGCTTGAAAGGGGCTAAAAAAGGAGGATAAAGAGCATCAGGACAGCATGGGAAGAAGCGGGCAGAAGCAGAACTGACATTTCACTTTCTATGGGACAGGATCATTCTTACTACAGAGTATGAGTAGTGACCAGCCCTTTTCACCACCTCCCTTTCCCTCAGTTAATTGGAACTCAGTCAGGTGATAATTGAGTTTTGTACAGCACTGAAATGAAATCAAAGACTTAAGAGCATTGATTGTATTCCAAGATTGAAGCACGCTCATACTTCGTATGTGCTTTAGGGGAGGGGGTGGGAGGGCACTTGGGCCTTGCGGGTGCATTCATGTAATCTGAGACTCTTGAACTTTATGACGGAGTCTTCAATATTTTGATGTATATGGAACTTTTGTTAATATATTGTATACTGTGTCGGCTGTGTGAAGTAAACTAAAACTCTCATGAACACTTTGGGGTCCACTTTAGTGTAGGAGACCAAAGTGGGAGGGGCTTTAGGGCACTGATAAAGGCCCTAAGTGTACTTTTCAGTCTGTGTAATGTTGAATTCTTGCGACTGAATCAAAACAGTGTTAAATTATGGCAATATTTGCACTTTGGGAATGAGTACTTAACTGTATGATCACACTCTGCAAATGCCACTTTTAAAGCTGTTAATAGACTTTGCACCTTTTCTTTGACAAGGATGTGTCATATTTAAATTTTTACATTCATCATGGCTACAGGTAGAACTGGGGAGGGGGGAATGTAATTTTTTATGGGAATTTTGATATGAAAAGAAACTAGTCATTTATTTATACAATATAGGCTTGGCTCAAAAAGTGTTTTTCAGACTCGATATTCCTAATGTGGGATGTGACTTTATTTTATTTTTAGTAGCAAATTTGGATGTAGACTGACAGACATAGCTGAATGTCTTAATAAATTTAAATTTGAAGATAACTATTTTGTTCCTGTGATGATGATTATTGTAAAGTATTTGAAATTCTGTTCTTAGGAGGTTTTGTTTTTATCCAACCAGGTTTCTTGTATCTTGATCCCTGTCAGAAATGCCTTGCAGATGGCAAAACTTTTTGATTGAGAATGACCAGCTCTTTGAAATCTACACCATTGGAAGCAAACCTAGCTTTGCATTAGAAGCATTTGGGGAGAGCTTTTTTTTAAAAAAAAATACACATTTCGTGGATGGACCTAGAAGGTATTATGCTAAGTGAAATCAGACTGAGAAAGACAAATGCCATATGATTTCACTCATGTGGAATCTAAAAAACAAAACATGAATAAACGAACAAAAGCAGAAATCAGACCTATAAATTCAGAGAACTGATGGTTGCCAGACGGGGGAGATAGGGGGCCAAATGGGGGAAGGGGAGTGGGCAGTACAGACTTCCGGTTAGGGAATGAATAAATCACAGGGATAAAAGGTACAGCAGAGGGAATATAGTTGATGGTGTTGTAATAACGTGTGGTGAGCTCAGCAGAACATGCAGAGAGATGTCGAATCACTGGTGCACACCTGAAACTAATATAACATTGTGTGTCAACACACAACCATTGTGTGTCCAAACATTTTTAAGAATTACACATATCTGGACCCGACTTCAGACCTACTGAATCAGGCTTTGGGGGTTTCTGAGAATGTGCTTTTCAAAGCTTCCTGGGTGATACCAGCAGTTTTATGTTTAGAAAAGAAGCTAGACTAGAATGCCTTTCTCCCTGCGTGTAGCTCAAGTGGCTCACCATCCTTGGCAGATGGCCCCCTCTAGTGGTAGGCTGGTAGTGACCTCTGATTTAAAACTGACTTATCCTTTGAGCAAAAGGTGCGTGTTCAAATATTAAACTCTTTGGTGCTTTGTCAAACAAAGGAATAAAATTACAGGTAAAGTTGGAATCATTTATGGCATAGTGAACTTGGCCATTTTTTAGCATTGTTTACACTTCTGGCCAAAGGACTCTGTTCCTATAGATCATAGGAAGAGTACTCAACTGTTTTAATAAAATTAGAGACTTCTTTGTATCAGTTTCATGTTATAATACATTTCGTATCTCCTACTAGCACAGAGACCCCAGCTCTACTTACCAAGTCACATGAGCCTCTCAGGTCAGCAGCCTGGTGGACAAATCTCATTCTATTCAGTGTATATATCCTATTTTGTTTCATTCAGGAGAGCTATCTTAGGTTGTAGGAACAAAACCCCTCAAAATCTCAAGTGGCTTTAAAACAACAAAAGTTTCTGTCTCACGCACACTGCCTATGTGACTGTGGAGTTGGCCGGGTGCTCTTGTTTGGTGCAGACAACTTGGATGGAGGCTGCTGGAACAGCCACTGTTGAACCTTCCTGATGGTCATGGCTGAGACAAAGGGCCCGGGAAGACGGTCCATTAGCAATTCAGTGGACGTCTGCCCCCTCCGGTCACCCCCCCACCGGCACAGGACGCTGCAGAAGTTCAGTCCCCGCTCTGGGGCCGGGACAGAGAGCACGTGAGCGGTGCGGAGGACGGTCACACCGCAGCGGAAGCAGCACCTAGTCTTATTTACACAGTATTCAGACTTCGGGAGCACACCTGTTGGAAGTATACTGACTGGGAACCTCGGACTTAATTTGCTACTTGTTCCGATGTGCTGGGATTGTACCATTGCGTGATGCCATCCGTATTTCAGATTTCTATTTCCCCATCATTTTTGTAATCGTTTCCAACTCACTGACTTTTGACTGAAAGAAGACAAAGTTTAACCATCTCTGAAGAGAAAACAGAGTTAGATTCGATTTCTCCTCCATTGCACTTGATCGGATTTAAGTGAGAAAATACAACATCCTTTTGGGGCCCTTTTTGTGTCCACTTGCTGATTTCCACTGTTTTTCAGACCATGGGTACATATACCCACTCGTAATCAGTTTTCTCTTAAACGCTTATTATCACCTTATGAACTTGGGCATCAAAGTTAGTACTCAACCATCTAAACCCTCATACTAGTTATTAACATGCATTTCCACTTTGTGGTGTTTTCATGTTATAAAACTTGTTCCAGTGATCTAAACCATGCTGTTGGCACAGTATGTCTCTAGAGGTCTGCTTTTCAAACACTGGCCCGAACACGAGGCTCTGCGATCCCCTCATTAGGGCTCCCATGTTGTCTCTGAAGTATGCCTGCCATGTTTTCATGAGCACATGACATCAGAAACACTCTGCTTTCCCTAAAGGTTTTGACGTTATGTCAAATTGTGAATTGAATTGGTTAGTGGAGAAGGAAAAATTATATAGTTTCCAAGTTTAAAAGGGAGGCCTTTTCTCCTACGGCTCCAGTAATGGGACAAGAGCCTTACAGAGCTTTAAGGAATTAATAACTTGAATATGCTAAGTTTTGAAAAAAAAAAAAACACCTTCAAGAAAATAAGTTTTACACTCTAGTTGTTTCTACTCTGGCTTTCACAAAAAAGTAGAGTCCAGTATTAGAATCCTGGCAAGTTGAAGGTAGGAATTACAAGGTTTCGATTGTTTTTTTTAAATCCTATATGGTTTTTAAAAATACTTTTTCCTCATTTTTTAAACACTGCTTTTGATTTGGAAAGCAAAGTATTTTTTAAAAGATTTTATTTATTTGAGAGAGAGCGTGAGCATGGGGAGAGGCAGAGGGAGAAGCAGGCTCCCTACTCAGGACACCAGGATCATGACCTGAGTTGAAGGCAGATGCTTAACCAACTGAGCCACCCAGGCGCCCCAAGGAAAGCAAAGTATTTAAAAAGAATAAAAATCACCCATAATTTCACTTTTGGAATTAGTCTTTTCAAGTTGCTTTTATAGTCAGTGCTAACAGAACTCCCCTTGTTGACAAGTACACCCCCACTCACGCAGGTGTCATTTTTACTTCTATTTTTAAAGTCTGCTGCCTATCGTTCAGCTTCTGAAATTCAAACACATTCCAAACAATTCCATAATTCATCCGTTAAGGTACACCTGTTTCTCCCAACTTTGAAAATACAGAATGTTATGACTATTTTTAAAGTTGCATTTAATAGATCGCACTTGCTTGGAAAATAATAAAAATACTAGGAGCAGCTTGCAGAACTAATTATTCTTGTGGTCACTCAGAAAAAGACTTCCTTCTCCAGCAGATTTGACATTCAGTTGCAGTATGGTTCAGAGGGAAGTCGGGACATTTCTGGTAGACTGAGTAAACCCTGCTATTAACCATGCTTCTAGAGTCATCCATTTTCCTTGTTCTTACTAAAACTGATGTTGGTGTTCTCCTAATCTATTTTTTATGAATGTTGGCTGTTTGACCCTTAGTTTTTCTTTCTATTCTTAATAGATATAAGTAACTCCTTGCTTTTCTATTGTTTTATATGCTCTAAGGTAAAAGAGAATGGCTTCTGACTAGCTGGAAATAATTCCCACGAACCTAGAAGAACTTCTGTGTCAATTCTAGATGGAATACTCTATTACTTTCCAAATGAGAACTTGCCAAACTGAAGTCATCTCTCCGAGTGGCACCAAGCCTGCTAGTTTCCCCTGACAATCATTTACCGGTCCCCTTGGATTTAGGCAGATCGGCACAGAAGAGGTGAGAAGAGGCTTGACTAAAGGCTAGAGCTCTGGGCTATAATTTTTATTCCTGGTTGATCTGTGTGATCCTTGGCCAGACTTTGTTTTTCTGGGCTTCAGCTTCATCTGACAAAATGATCTCTGAGGTATCGTTCTGCTCTTACGATTTTGCCCATCTGTATTTCTAATCTTTACCATGGACTGAGTGATAAGCTTCATGTATTTTTTTTTAATGTGCTGTGCCAAATATTAAACTTAGTTAGGGTTCGGATTACTACTGTGTTTCCAGTGCCTGGGACAGAGCAGGAGGTCTCTAAATATCTGAGTGAACAAATGAACTTTATAGGTGGCTCCTGTATAAACCCCATAGTTTAAAAATGGCAGAGGATTCTGTTAGTTCTAGGGTCAGAGAGCATAACATTACGTGCCAGCAAGTTGAGGTCATTTCTGTGAGTGGTTTTTGATTATCCAACTAAATTCAGATCCAGAACTCAGAGCTTTCTAGAATAGAGATTACAAACCTGGGGCATTCAGGTGAAATCTGGGCTGATGAATTTTTTCTTGGTTTGGCCTCAAAGGTGCACTTTTAAATGACTTTCTAAAAAACATTTGAATTAGTTGCCAACTGTTTAAAAGTTGCAGGCCTATACATACAAATCCAATTTCTGGCTTTTCTTGGAAAATTGGAAGAGCTGGTATTGGTCACTCGTTCCTGCCTGGCAGCAGTTGGCAGGGGCTGAAGTGGGTCAAACGGGCTTTCTCCCTTACCCCAAATCCCCTCCCCACCACTACCTGCTCTTGGAAATTAGATTGTTATCATCAAACTTCTGTCCAAGTAGGAGATGACAACTCAGATCTATTGGCAAACATGGCTTCTGCTTCTCATTTAATGACATTGTAGAGTGCACATACTCTGTGTGGATCAAAGCGGAGAAGAGAAGTGAACCAGGAGCACTGTGCATAAATTTGAGGTTCACTTGTGCAAGTGTAGAATCTGTATTTTCAGTTTTCTTTAATTATAGTAGTCATTAAGAAAAATCAGTAACCAAGTGTTTCATTTGAATGTATTTTCAGTTTGGGTCTACACTTGACGTTTGTGGTATCACCACATGATTGCATGGACCTGGGCCAGGGTTCCTCCCTCGTTGTTGGGCACTGGAAGCCGGTGGGAAGCTTGTGAAAACTACAGATGCTTGGGCGCAGCCCCATGGATTCTGACTGGGCATGTTTGGGATGGAGCCTGAGTACTTGTTCTTTTATAAATTTTGCAGATGATTCGGATCCATCGAAATGTGAGAGCCTTTGATCTAGGGCAAATATTCCTGCTATTTTGGTTGTGGTGGTGGTGGGGTTCTTGTTTTTGGAACTATTGCTTTTATGGAAGGAGTTTCTTAAAG